GGGGATAGGGAGAGGGTGACAGGGATAGGGAGATGAAAGTCAGCATTGCCGATGGCGAGGAAGGCTTAACGTTGTGTTGTTCTCCATCGGGAGACTGTTGGAGTCCAGGGGCAGGGATGTCTCGCTGTGGCTGTACAGGGGGCAAGGCAGACCCCTGAGGGAGCTGTATTGAGGTCTCTGTATCTAAGGAAGGATGGTTCTGGTTACAGAGGAAGACTGAGTCCTGGGGCGGACATAGGGAGAGAGACCAGATCGGTTAGGGACTATATTCACCGGAGTTTTTAGAAGAACAAGGATGGGGATCTGATAGAAACCTACAAAATTCCAACAGGCGCAGGGGGTGGTGGGTGTGTGGAAGCGCAGGAAGAAAGTTTCCGATGACCTACTGGGGAAGACCAGAACCAGGAGGGGGGGGGTCACTGTCTTAAGGAGATGGGATAGGACTCAGACGGGGAGAAATGTCTTCCCCCAGAGAGTAGGGGAGCCTGTGAGATTCTCTGTCACAGAAAGCGGTCAGGGCCAGAACACAGAATGTTTTCAGGAAAGAGTTGAATAAACGAGCTTTAGGGGGAAAGCGGGGAACAGGGGACTGGCTTAGACGTCAGCTGCTATCCTATTGAAAGGTGGAACAGTATCATGGGGCCATATGGCCTACACCTACTCCTACCTTCCTACAACTGGGTGCCTCGTCAGGCTTTTGGGGCGCAGGGTTGAATCAGGGAGTGAAATGTTTGCGAGTCCCTTTAAGTGGTTCGAGTCCTGGGCCACTCTGTGTCAGCAAAATGTTGGGAACTATTGAATTGGACTCTCAGAATAGAACAGGGTCCATTCCAGAGAGAGAGAGACAGAGACAGAGAGAGAGAGAGTGTGGAAGCAGGTCAGCTGAAAAGCAAGGCCCAATTTGATCTTAAACATCAGGGATCCACGTTCTGGGACCCCCTTTGCCCCCTGCCTCTCACACAGCGTAGTGGGGGTGTGCTGCGAGTCATGAAGACTGAGGATTTTATGACGGTCAACCTGGAGGGGCAAACCCCAGAACCCGAGGGCAGGAGGGAGCTGAGACCGGAACCCCCGACCCCCACCGGCTCCTCCGACAAAGAGGACAGAGACCCCACGGGGATGAATCAGCACCTCAAGGTACCCGGGGTGGGGGGGCTCGAGCTCAAGGCGTCTGAGGTGAGGGTGTGTGGGGAGGGGGGGGTCGATCTGCCCCACTGTGGGTGAGCTGAGGCTGCGGGGGGAGTGAGGGAATTGGGATTGGGGGAGGGAGTGGAGGAGATAGACGGCCAACTGGGTTAGAGGAGGTTTTGGGTGACACATGGATCACGCTGATCGCACATGGGATCATAAATGGGGATTCGTGTGGGATCGCACATGGGGATCTGGGTGGGATCGCACATGGGGATCTGGGCGGGATCGCACATGTGTACCTGGGTGGGATTGCACATGGGGATCTGGGTGGGATTGCACATGGAGATCTGGGTGGGATCACTCCAGGGGTCTATGTGTGATCACTCCAGGGATCTATGTGTGATCACCCCGGGCATCTGTGTATGATAACACATAGAGACCTGTGCGAGATCACACTTGGAGATCCACATCTGATCAAAACTGGGATCCATGTGAGATCACACTTGGGGATCTATGTGGAATCACATTTGAAGCACTGTGGGGGGCAATGGCCTAGTGGTATTATCACTGGGCTGTTAATACAGAGATCCAGGTAACATTCTGGGGATAGTGGACTGACCTATCCCCTTCCTAACTCCCTACCTACACTCACCTTTCCTGGCTCCATCCCCGCCTCTTCGACCTGTTTGTTTCCTCTCCACCTATCCTCTCCTCTATCCCTCTTCTATCCGCCTCCCACTCTCTCCCTATTTATTTCAAAACCCCCTTCCCCTCCCCCTTTTCTGATGAAGGGTCTAGGCCCGCAACGTCAGCCTCTCTGCTCCTATGATGCTGCTTGGCCTGCTGTGTTCATCCAGCCCTGCACCTTGTTGTCTAACATTCTGGGGACCCGGGTTTGAATCCCGCCAGGGCAGATGGTGGAATTTGAATTCAATAAATATCTGGAATTAAGAATCTAATGATGAACGTGAATCCATTGTCGATTGTTAGAAAAACCCATCTGGTTCACTAATGCCCTTTAGGGAAGGAAACTGCCATCCTTACCTGGTCTGGCCTACATGTGACTCCAGACCCACAGCAAAGTGGTTGACTCTGAACTGCCGTCTGGGGCAATTAGGGATGGGCAATAAATGCTGCCTGGCCAGCGACACCCTCATCCCGTGAATGAATGAAGGAAAGGATCACAATGGGGGATCCTGTGGGCAGCACGCTCGAGGAACGCGCATGGAGACGCTGCGAGATTCCAATTGGTTCTGAGCCAGCGTGTCCCTGAACAGGAGGTAGCCTTGTTCTGCTGTATCCACACCCCCCAGAACCTCAGGGAGGCGAGGGGACAGGGAGGAATAGCTGCCAAAGGCAACAGGGGCAAAGGCGATGAGGTGGAGTGGGAGAGAAGGGTAAAGGACATGAATGGAGTCTTTGCTGAAGAGGCTGGATCTGAGATATCTCTGTTCCTGTTGCAGGTGGATTTCCCAGAGGTTATTGCTGAATCCTCCATTGCTCCCAGGTCCGACCGTGTCTGGGCCTGGAGTCATGTCGGATTCGAGGTCTGCAAGCTGTGGAGTTATCGTATCATTTCTCTGCTCTGTGCCATTCCTGCCTCCACTCTCACCGGCTGCCTCTTCTCCTTCGTCACTTGTCTACACATATGGTGAGTGTTTGTGACAGGGAGATCAGGCCCGAAGGCCCGTGGGGCAAGGAGATCAGGCCCAAGGGCCCCAAGGTGCGGGGAGACCAGGTCCGAGACCAGGCCAGAGAGCCTCAGGGTGCGGGGACACCAGGTCCGAGACCAGGCCCGAGGGCCCCATGGTGCGGGGAGACCAGGTCCGAGACCAGGCCCGAGGGCCTCATGGTGGGGGGAGACCAGGCCTGAGGCCCCCACGGTACAGGGAGACCAGGCCCAAGGCCTCATAGTGCAAGGAGACCAGGCCTGAGGCCCCGACGGTGCAGGGAGACCAGGCCCAAGGCCTCACAGTGCAGGGAGACCAGGGGCTGGTCCGAGACCACACGTTGGAAGTTGAGGGGATGTTTCCAGGGTAGTGATTGGGAGTTTAGAACGTAGGGAGGGTGAGGCTGCTATGGGGTTGGTGGATGTGTCAGAAGTGGTCAAGCTGAATTGGATAAACATCACACTGATCCCTTCTCTCTCCTGTTTCTAGGTGCCTGCTGCCTTGTGTGAGGGTCTGTCTCCTCTGTCGGCCTACCTGCCAGAAGGTCTGCCACAGCCTGATGGACATCATTGTCAGCCCAGTCTGTACCAGCGTGGGCCGCTGTTTCCGGAGAGTTCATCTTATTGTGGCCAGATACTAGTTCCACTCCCTCCCCACACATCCAGCCTGAGGCCTGTGCCTGCTGTCCCAGACCTTGGGTCCATATCTGCTCTCCCAAGGCCATACCTGCTCTAACAGGCCCAAGGCCCACATTCCCCTCAACAAGTGCCAGATCCCATCCTCTCACTCAATCCCAAACCACAGGCATCAGTCCCAAGCTCACACTCCTTCTCCCAGACTCCAGGACCATACCCACCCTCCCAGGGCCCCTATCCGCTCTCTCAGGCCCCCTACCCGCTCTCCCAGGTCTCAGGCCAGTGTCCCCCTCGACAGGCCCAGGTCTCCCACTCTCGCACTCGGGCCTGTTCCTCTTCTCCCAGGGCCCAACATCCCCCTTGTCCAGCTCTGAACCACTGGAGGCCTGGGGAGGAATCCGGGGACCGTCAGGCTGAGTTAGGTTCCCCCCTCTCTCTCGGTGGTTGGAGGATGGGTATCTGGGAGTTAGTGAGAGGGCGAGATCAGCCAACTGAGTGCCGACTGCGACAGGCAGCGGGGTTTGGAGCTCGGGAGTAGGTCTCTCAGTGGTCAAGCTGACCCGTACACCTCAGGCCCCACCTCTGGCCACAGCAGACAGAGACAGGTCAGAACGGGGCCGGAGTGTGAGGATGGGAAGTGAAATTAAGAACAGGATGAGAAGACAATGAGCCCTCTGATTTAATGTTGACATTTCACAGCAATTCTCCACCGTCCCTGATAAACTCAGTCCAGGCAGTCTCCGATAGGGAATCTGGACTGGTGTCAGGATCCAGAGGTGATCCCCTGGACTTGGTCCCGCTCCATCATTCAGAACCTCCTACTCCCACCTTCCATTACATCATCCAAATCCAACTCCACCGTATGGGGTCCCGTTCATCCAAACCATCCTCCGGCCCCCTACACCCCCTCCACATCTCCGTCGCATCCTCCGGCCCCCTACACCCCCTCCACATCTCCGTCGCATCCTCCGGCCCCCTACACCCCCTCCACATCTCCGTCGCATCCTCCGGCCCCCTACACCCCCTCCACATCTCCGTCGCATCCTCCGGCCCCCTACACCCCCTCCACATCTCCGTCGC